GCGAGGAGCCACCGCCGAGAAGGCCCGATTTCTTGTCTTTTCTTTCTGGGCCTCCCTCAGCGTTAGGCTCCTCAGCCTCACCTCCTGACTTGCGCGAGTGACACGGGTAGAACTTGGTGGAAGTAGGCGTGATCCCTGTGTGAGTTAGTTACAGCAGAGTCTTCTCGTGCTGTGATCCTCAAGTTTGGGTAATCCAGGAGTTCTTGAACTACAATACCCCGAAACCCTCGCCAGCACGGTTGGTGGTGTAGGCTTCTGGGAATTGCAGGCAATACCCAGAAACCCTCGCCAGCACAGTTGGTGGTGTAGGCTTCTGGGAATTGCAGTTCAAGGACGCCTGGGTTGCCTGAGGTTGGGAACTACTGGCCTCAAACCTTGATGAGGAGGTATAGGTATTTGGCATGACAGCCCATACCAGTTTATGCCGAATCAGGTTGGTTTGTCTTTAAGATGCCCTGAATCCCTTTGTGGCATTTCTAAGATGCAAGACCTCTTGTTCATGAACGCCTCTGAGAGAGGCCCATGTGCTGCCTCTGTACCCATCCACCGTCACACATGCCTTTGTTCCATCCTGCCCCAATGGCTGTCTCGTGGTGTATGTGCTGGTTCTAACCTATAGAGCCCTAACAGACTTGGGACTGCGATGCCTCAAAGACCGGGTCTCCCTTTATGAGCCTACCCGGGCATTAAGATCATCAGGAGAGGCCGGCCCCCTTCATTGGTACGTTCAGTGGGGTCCCGGGGAAAGGGCTTCCAGTGAGTTGGGGAGATATTTGAGATTATTTTTGGAATGTGACATGGCCTCTGCGACGAATGACTTGAGCCATCGGGGAGGTTTTCCTAACTTTCAGCTTGAACCTTGTGGTAGGACCTCCTGCTTACACACATTGGGGGGGAAGTACCCAGAATCCTTCAAATGTTGGTGGGGAAGGATGCTAGAGCCTACTTTCTTCTGCCAGAGAATGATGCCCCTGTGGTCGACCTGCTTGCTCTCTGAGACACACAGCCACCCTCTTGGGAGAGGGCGCTGGGCTTCCTGGGACTGGCCAGCTCGCTGGCCACTTCCTCCTCCTCCTCCTGCTTTTCAGCAGCCTCCACGGGGCCTGCCCATCTCCATTAGTCCTCTCTGCATGAGGGGACTTGGGCTGTTGCTGCAGTGGCAATAGGATAACAGTCAAGCTGGGTGGGTGGATGGATGGATGGAAAGGACGTGTGCTTTTGTACAGTGTCAGGAGGAAGGGGGACGCGTCCCAGGGTCTCCCGGGCGGGCCAGGTCACAGTGACTGTTTCCTTTCTTCCAGTGAGAATGAGGCCCTGTGGCGGGAGGTGGCCAGTTTGCGGCAGAAGCACACCCAGCAGCAGAAGGTGGTCAATAAGGTGAGCTCAGCCCCTTCTCCTCTTCTTGCACCCTTGCCTGGTTTCTCCTGGGCTGCCTGCCAAAGAAAAGGGGACCTCTCTCTCTCTCTCTCTGTGTGTGTGTGTGTGTGTGAGAGAGAGAGAGAGAGAGATTGTCAAGGAATCTGTAAGACCTCTCGGGTCATCTCTTGATGTTGAACAACAGAGAAGGCTCAAGAGTTTGAGCGGCAGTTTGGAGAGGTGTCAGCAGAGGGACAGCTGGCAGATCCTCACCTGCGTGCCTTGGACAGGACTGGCCTGAGTCCAGCTCTACCAGGTTCTGGAAAATTACTTGGTGTTGATAACTCTGTGAGACGGGCTGGTGGGTTGGCAGGCGAAGGACTCCCTCCCAGGTGCTCCCCTCAAGGCTGATTTTTAGCTCCCCCTTGGCAGGGCTGGCGACCCTCTTAACAGGCTTCTCTTTCTCTATTCCCACAGCTGATCCAGTTCTTGATTTCCTTGGTGCAGTCGAACCGCATCCTTGGGGTGAAGAGAAAAATGTAAGTGGGCCACAGGGTGCAGCGAGCGGCTGGCGGGGCTCAGCCCAAGAGGTCAGCTGGCCTGGGAACAAGTCCTCTTGCCCAGGAGAACCTTTTCTGCTGACAGTCAAAGAGTGGCCAGGGAAGAGCGCTTGCATGGGCATGATAGAATCCTGTGGCATCCAAGAACACACACAGTGGGTCACCTCAGAGGCAGGCGGAGGTCCCTGTGATTCTGACAGCCACGCTGTCTATCCATGGCTTTGATAAACCCCACTAGGAGGATTCTCCTCTCGCCACTGACTCTCTTGACTTCCTCTCAGCTTGCCCCTTGCAGCCTGGCCTCTGTCTGGGTCTCTCCCGTTTTTTCCCCCTCCTTAAGTCCTTACTGTGTTTCCTCCTGCAGTCGCGTTTCTGCTCAGTTTATATCACTATGCCTTTTATTGTATACTTTTATTTGTTTGCTTGCTCCTGAGAAGAATCAGCATGCTCTTCCTGTATGGAGATGTCTCTCTCTCTCTCTCTCTCTCTGTGTTTCCTCCTGCAGTCGCGTTTCTGCTCAGTTTATATCACTATGCCTTTTATTGTATACTTTTATTTGTTTGCTTGCTCCTGAGAAGAATCAGCGTGCTCTTCCTGTATGGGGATGTTTCTCTCTCTCTCTCTCTCTCTCACACACACACACACACACACACGCACGCACGCACGCACGCACACACTCTGTCTCTCTCCCTTCCTCTTTTGAGGAAGTGCATCTGTGTAGTTACTCAGGAGAGACGTGTGATCTGTTGGGCTGGGCTGGGTGGCTCTCCCATACTCCAGGATTCCTGCCACGGCCTTGGGTGACAGGATTTGCTTTCTCAAGGTGCTGTGTTCGTGTCCAGCTTAAGGCATCTTGAAAGGGGCAATGGAGGACTCCTCTGAGGGTGGGCGTGGGGTCCCCAGCGGAACTGGCTCACTGGAGCTCCTGCTCCTCCTGTGGGCCTCTTTCCGAGGGGCATTGGGTTGGCCATGGCAGCAAAAAGGGGTGGCAGGATGGACAAGGCCTTGGGTCTGGTCCAGCTTCCACCCCCCAGGATGTTCTGAGTGTGCCACCACAGTGTACTGAAGGAAAGGGCATCTGCCTTTTCCAGCCCTGACCTGGGGTCCAGACTCTGATTCATGAGACGTGTGACATGCTCAGGGTACAGGTAGAAGGGATTGGCCCAGATTCAGGACGGAGACACTGGGTACTAGGTAGGACGTGGCCCGGAGACCCTTGACCCAAGGAGCTGCTGTTTCAAGGGCTGGGTAGGTGGTAAGCCACCCCGAGCGGTCTCACAACTTGCGTTTGTGGCTGTGCTTTGTAAAATTGTGCGGGGATGGTGACCTTCTGAGGTGCAGGTATGTGTCCTGGCACAGTGCCCTCCCCAATAGCTGACTCACCTCTTCTTTCTGTCCACCAGGAAGGCCTCTGTGCCTCACGCCTCTCTTGCTTTCTCTTCCAGCCCCCTGATGTTGAACGATGGCAGTTCGGCCCATTCCCTGCCCAAATATGGCCGCCAGTACTCTCTGGAGCACGTCCACGCCCCATCCCCGTTCTCTGTAAGTACTGAGCTTGTGCTGAAGGAGGGCCACCACCAGAGGGTCCCCACCAGGGTCCCTGAGCGCTGCTCCTTGGCTTCTTCAGCCGGCTGGTCCATCCTCTCAGCCAGGTGGAGGACCCGCCTGGCCCCCAGGACCGTCCACCATAGAGGTGGGCGCCCTGTGTGGTTTGCACCCTGTGGGCACCACCCACTTAACCCTCCTAGTCTGGGTGGAGGGTGGGGCTGGCTCTGCTGATGATAACCCTGCCTTCTGCCCTACCGGCTCCAGTGGGCCTGAGCAGCCACTGGCGCGCTCCGTTGGGGACTGCCTGCTGGTGGCGTGTGTGCGTGCCTCCAGATCCAGAGCCTCCTTCCACTTCACGGGTCGTTCCTTCCTGCACCCATGGCAGCCAAGCTATCCATTCACGTGCCAGCACAAACCCCACTCATTCCTCAGCCAGCCCTTCGTGCCATTCGGCGCTCCCCTCCCAGTTTTCCTTTCTCTTCACTCTCCTTTATTGCCTCACTCTGTCACTTCCTGTCTCGTGGCACCCCTCCCTGGCTGCGGTCCCCTCCTCTTTATCCCTGTTCCCCAATATGACATCTAAACTTTGGAAGGTAAACACACAGCCCATTGATGCCAATGGGAGGTCCTTTTTTGTTCCTAAGCTTAATTCCCAAAGGGGCCATTTTCAGGCGGGGGGTGCTTCTTCTTTTCTAAGTTGCTGGGGATCCTATGGGTGTTCACCTGAGGTGCCACAGTGTTGCCATGATGGGGAGGAGCCCCTCTCAGGTGGACAGTGTGTCGTGCGATCAGGCATGCAACCAAGAGGTGCCCCAGCGTCTGGTCATGGAGCCACCGTGACCTGCAACAGGTTCCTCGGATGTAAACCCCAACTCCAGGAGGAGTCTAGTCACGATGGGCTTTGCAGAAACTCTTTTGGCTTCCCGGGTGCAGGGCCTCTTTGGCATCCTCTCCGTTTCCCTTCCAGGCTTCCTCCCCAGCGTACAGTGGTTCGAACTTGTATTCCCCCGACCCCTCGGCTAACTCTGGCCCCGTCATCTCTGATGTGACGGAACTGGCCCCGTCCAGCCCCTCGGCTTCCCCGAACAGCAGCGTCGACGAAGAAAGGTACGTGTCTGTCTCCTGTGAAGGGCCAACGGTGCCCCTTCACAGGAGGAGGAGCGCACTTTCCAATGGTGGCCTTTGGCTCTATTTGCTTTTGGGGGGGATAAAAGCAGGAGCGGACGACGTGAAATCCTCTGCAACAGCCCAGAGGATTTAATTAATTAATATATCTATGTATCTAGACAGACAGAAAGACAGACTTAAAGCATCCTCTGGCACCCTTGTCGGGGGCAATATCTTGTAAGCACCCTGGAGATCCCCCACAGAGACATACTGCTTCTAAAGCCTTCTTTGTACTGAAAAATCCAGGAGACAAGTCATGGTCGAGGGAGGAGATGCAGCTCTCCACAGTCTAAGGAAGGGTGAGCGCGGGCCCTGGACGTCTGGATGTTGCCCAGCTGAGCCTGCAATTTAGGCCCAACCAGGGTGTGGTTGGCTCACATCCTGGCCAAGGTTCTCCTTGAATGGCATTGCCCTGGGATGGACTGAGCTTGTGGGTCCACCCCGGGTGGCTGGAAACTCGACTTCTTCTTTTTGATTTTAAAGCTGATTCTTGGCAAGTTCCTTTCGATTCAGAAAGGGCTTGGCTTTCCAGCCGAGATTCAGAGGTGGCTGTCCCAGGGCAACACCCAAGATCTTCCCTGGGCATGTTGGAGCTGATTCCAAATCACGGTGGCCCTCTGTGAGCATCTGAGCGCCAGGCCCCCTCCCTGGGAGAAGCAGCCCTGCTCTCCATTCCCATTGAAGGAGCCTGTCTCTTTGAGGGCTGTTTGCCTTTGCCTCAGCTTCTGCTTCACGGCGTGATGTCAAAGTGAGTGGATGTCTGGAGGTGTCTCCGGGTGCGTGACAGCCCCAAGGATGATGCAAACGAGTTTCCTTTAAGGGCACGGGATGCGGATGTCCTGTGTGCTTTCCTTGACTGTGGACAGACCTGCTCTGGCCGGAAGATGCGTGCTGCGTCACTCAACAGCCTTCCCGGCCAGCCGTCCACCCGGGGCCTGAGCTTTCTTATCTGGAGAAGGGCAGCCGAGGCATCAGAGAGATAAAAGCAAATTGCTCCGGCCGTGGGGACGGCTGACGGACACAGGTTGTCCCGTCCACTCACGTCTGCTCTCTGTATCCTCCGCTCCTCAAAATTGTGAAATCACCGTCTTGGTCCTCATCCCAGCTCAGCCACTGATCCCTGAAACCTGGAAATTTCCCAGAGCGAGCAGGGCGCCTTTTTGTTCCTAGTCGAGAAAGCCAAGGCCTCCTGCCTCCGTCCTGTCTCTCTGTCTCCCCCCGCCCTCCAGCCCTGGTGCCTCAGTGTATTCAGGGTGAATACCACTGGCACAGGGAGGGGGCTGCCTCCCCACCGCTGCTCTTTATTGCCTTTTGTTCCTGTGCCTCTGCCAGGAGCCGTCCTGGACGTTGCTTTGAAATGGGAACCAGATGCTTTGCTTGAATGGGCCATCGTTGCTTTGTTCTTTTATACCTGGTGACCATTCCTGTGGGTCTAATTGAGCCTTTTTTGGGGGGGGGGGAGTGTAGGTGCTAAAGGGAGTTTCCATCTGCCAGAAAAACCCATTCCCCACCCCCACCACTCTCTCTTTTTCAAAATCCCCTGGCAGAGAAACCAGGCTTGGGGGGGGGGTGTTGGGGGCTCAGAGGGAAAGGCGGGCAGCTTGCAGGAGGGCAGAGGAAAGACAGCAGAACCCTCTCCCGACCTGGCTCCTGTTCCCATCCTGGCTCTCTCGGGGAACTGTGGTTTCTCATCGTGGGGCATTCGGCCTCTGCAGCCTGATGACAGAAAGCCTGAGGCCTTCTTTTTTCTCTTTCTCTCTCTCGTCTGTCTTAGGCAAAGCCCTTTGATTCGTATCAAAGAGGAGCCCCCCAGCCCCTCCTGCAGCCCCCCTGTTGAGGAAGCCAACCCTGTCGGTGCCCCCGCGGCTGAGACCCCTCTCTCGCCCTCCACCTTCATCGACTCCATCTTGCAGGAGGACGCCCCTGACGGCCCCCGAGCGTCTTCGGCTAGCGACAGTGCCGGACAGCCGCCGCCCGCAGAAAAGTGCCTCAGCGTCGCCTGCCTTGACAAGTAAGGAGCGGGGCAGGTTGGCCGGGGAGCCTCGTCCAACCATGTCAGAGTTTAGGACTGGCCCAAGTGCTGAGCGCTTCGGCCCCTAAGGCCCCTTCCCACCCACCCCCACCGTGTGCTAGATGGACTCCTCTCCCCCTTCCCATGGCATGGAGAACAAAGGGGCTTCCTGCAGCACCCGGAGCAGGCGCCAGCCTTTGCCAGTGCGCCGCCTCCTGCTGACTTCTGCTGAAGACATGCCAGGGCTTAGCTTCATGAACAGCAGCTGCTCCAAGCCTGAGTGGAGGCTACGTTCTTCTCTGCTGCTGATTTTGGGACACTGCAAACCAGGGGGAGCTTCCCTCCCTGAGTTCCAAGAAACAGACCCTCCACTCACTCCAGGCTCCTTCCTGCTTTGTGCTCCAGGGAGGTCCTTTTGACCTCCTGACCCCTCTGTTACTGACTGCCAGACACGGCCTGGCCCTACTCTGTGAACACTCTGGGTTTCTTCGCTTGCCCTTCTTGCTCACCTGGCTTATGCGTTCCAAGACCTCTGGCAGGTTCCCTGTGCTGCTTTTCTCTGCCCCCTGATGCCAGTTCTCTCCTGTCCCCTGCCCTCTTTCCCACCTCTCGCCCACAGCGACCCACCTTCGTTCTTGGACCCCTCTCTGCTTGCGCCAGACCGAGGCCTCTCACGGCTCCAGGGCCTGGTGGACCGCCATGGCTCTGCACCCCTGGCGGTCTCCACTTGGCCCGTCCTGTGCATGTGAGCGACCCAGCCCTGCCGAGGAGAAGCCTCTGTCTGGCCTAGGGAGAATGCCCAGCACCCGTCTCCCTCGCCCGCAGCTAGGCCTCCGTTGGGCCTGTGAGTGGGGTGGCCGCTCTGATCTGACCAGCTGACTCTGGCATGGGAGGCTCCGGGCATCCCTCCCTCTGGCGGAGGCGTCTTTGGCCGCCTGGGAGGGGGCAAAGGGTGTAAGGGTGGGGAGAGGCAGCCAGAGCCTTCCTCCGAGGGAGCCCTCCTCCCTCGAGGGGGCTTTTCTGTCTTGGAAAAAGGCTAGCAGGACATCAGGGAAACCACTGGTTGGGCTGAAGGTGCTGGAATTCCTCTTTGGTGGGATGCTGTGGGTGCCCCCAAACCTCTTGGGCTGGTGCCACAGAGGCATCAGCTTACTGCGTGACACAGGCTGCCCTTGTTTCTTTCTCCTGTGCCAGGCTTGCCTGCCCTGGTTTGCTGTTCCCTGCCCTGCAGGGAGAGAGACCCCCGAGGCTTTTCTGAGGCTGGTGGAGGGCCTGGTGCCCAGCCCCAGCCCTGGCGTGGCCCCTCCCTCCTGCCGCTTTTCCTCGCCTTTGGAAGCAACCGCCCGCCCTTCCGTCCCTGAAGGGCCGCCCTCGAGGTCTTCCTCTCCTCTTTGTCTCTTTCAGTTTGGCTCGTCCTCCGCAGATGTCAGAGGTCACCTGCCTCTTTCCCAGGCCTTCCTCTTCCTCACTGCACTGCAGAACGCCACCAGGGTTAGCATCTCCAGCGCTTGCTGCTCCTTCTCTGCCTTTGCTGTTCACGGAGGGGGAGCCGTGAGCGGGCAGAGCTTCCTCCCCTGTGGGTGGGCTTCAGGCTAGGAGGGAACGGCACACGGGGGGGGGTTTCCCAGAGGGGCCCTGGAGGAGCCTGGCATTTTTGCCCCGTCTGGCCCGCGGAGTCTTCCTGATGACCGCGTGTGATGTGCTCAGTGCTGAGGAAGGGGAGGGCCGGGCTGGGCAGGCAGGCGGGCGGGCAGGCAGAATTCTCTGTGTGCTCCTGAGTGCAAAAGCTCCATTTGACATCCTCTGTATCTTGAAGCCTTTGGTTGTGCATTGTGCGCCCCCTCCCCAACAAGAGACATCAGAGCTTATTGGGGGAAGGAAGCATCTGCTTTGTGTGGAGAGAACCGCACCCCTTCCATCGCCTGCACTGAGACTGCGCTTTCTCCAGTTCAAAAGCCTGGGGCCCCCAGGGCTGGGATGGAGCTCAGCGCCAGTCCAAACAGGCTCCTTTGGCCAAAGGCGGCTCTGAGGCCTCACTGCACACACACACCCCGCACACACCCATGGGACAGGTGCTCGGAGTACAAGGGGTGGGCTCTGTGGCCTCAGGAACTCCCGAACCAACCTTGGCAGAGGGAACGTGGAAGTGGCATCTCTGGGAAGCACAGAAGAGCCACACGGAGAGTGAATTCCACTCCGGCATGACTTGCCAGGCAGAGCTAAGAAAAGCTGCTGTCTGAAATCCTGGCACACAGTTAATGCTGGTTGGGCTGGGCTGGGCTGGGCTGAGGCAGGTGGGGGCCCTGTCTGACTTGGTCCGAGGGAGTGGCTTCTGTTCCCATCCCTGCTGTTTATCGGGGGCCGGGGGGGGGAAGGTGCCTTTTCTCTGCTCTCCACACCTGAACAGTTGTGGCTGTTCCGGGCTGCCCCCCCTTCCAAGGGCAGTGCGGTCTCCTGCGGGCATGGGCGGGGGGGTGTTGGTGGGCACAGAGCCAAGAAGTGGCTGCTCTTTGGCCAGTCTGGACCCAGCCCCAACCCAGGCAGAGCCCCAGACCCTCACAGGGCCCTTCTTTGTCATCCCCCCCCCCAGGAACGAGCTGAACGAGCACCTCGACACCATCGATTCCAGCCTGGATAACCTTCAGACCATGCTGAGCACCCACAGCTTCAGTGTGGACACAAGCGCCCTGCTGGACGTAAGCCCTCCTCTTGGGGAGTTCTGCCTGGGAAAGGGGGGGATACGATGACCTAGGGGTCCCCCTCCTAACGCTTGCCCCTACCCCCTTCTTTCCCTCTGCCGACAGCTCTTCAGCCCTTCTATGACGGTGGCCGACATGAACCTCCCGGATCTGGATAGCAGTTTGGCCAGCGTGAGTTTGCTGTTGCAGACCTTCCACGGGACAGGCGAACTGAGAGATGTCCCCCCCCTTTTTGGCAGGGCCTCCTGTTGGCATGTCCTCAGCGTCCCTCCTTCATGCTCAAGACCCCCCCCCGAGTGCCTTACCGAGGTGATGGTTGGGCCCTTCCCAAGGCAGCGTTGGGCTTCTTGGCCTCGTTGGCAGGGGGTAATGTTGGTGGGATTCTGCTGGGTGCTCCGTTTGTCAGCCCAGAGAAGCATCACCTCTTCCCCTGGGAGCCCCTGGCTGGCTCTCCCAAGGGTGGAGGGGAGAAGCAGGGCTGGGTGGTCTCCCAGAAGGGCAAGCCTTGGGGAGAGGGGCTGCTTTGACGGAGGAGATTGCCCGTCCAGTCCCCATTGACATGAACAGGAGCTTGGAAGGAGTGACCCAATCCACCACGGGGTCTCCTGCTGCCTGGGTTGCTGGGAAGTTGCCAAAGCCCAGCCGGCTGGGGAGGGTCACTTACCGACCCCTTCCCGTGCAAAGCTGTTGGAGAGACTGGCAAGGGTGACTCCTGGCAGCCTTTGTGGCGCCGGCCGCTGCCCAGCTCACCCCGCCCGCCTGCCTGCCTGTCTTTGCAGATCCAAGACCTCCTCTCCTCCCAAGAGCAGCAGAAGCCGCCAGAGGCTGAAGACGCCTCCGCAGACACAGGTGGGTGAGGGAGCTCTGCTCTCCCCCGCGACGCTCCTCTTGCTCCCCTGCCTCCCTCCCTCTATTACACCGCGGCTGTTGGCAGGCCCCAGGTCCTTTTCTCCTTGCTCAGTCGCCGGATCAGGACCCCCGACCGTGTTGCAGCAAAGGGCCATGCAGCATGCTGTCCCTCATGAGGGTGGGGGAGGCCCGCGGGCGCACACACGGCAGGGGGCTGGCGTGTCCTCCTTTCGCACTTGCGGTCCAGTGGGCAGCCTCTGCCCCGAGCCCTGCTTGGCTGAGGCTCCACCGCAGGTCTCCCGCTGTCCCTCCGACCTGCCCCGGCTGGCCGGCCCACCTGCAAGGCTCCCGGCTTAGGGCCCCCCCCACCCCACCCCAGTGCACCCCACCGACAAGCAACAATCCCAACTTGGGGGATGTGCGTCTTTCTCGTCTTCCTTCTCCAGGCAAGCAGCTGGTGCACTACACGGCCCAGCCCCTCTTCCTCGTGGACTCGAGCTCCGTGGACGTGGGCAGCGGGGAGGTGCCCATCTTCTTTGAGCTGGGGGAGGGGCCTGGCTTCACGGAGGGGGAGGACTACCTGGAGGACCCGACCGCCCCCCTCCTCTCCGGGACAGAGCACCCCAGGCCCAAGGATCCGGCCGTGCCCTAAGGCCACACCTGCACGGGGCGCCCGGCCCGCCAGCGGCTGCCTCGCTTTGCTCCGGCCTCGGGAAGGGCTTCTTCCGCCTCTCGCTCTCTTTGGCTTCCCTGGTGGTTGTCTGCGTGTGTGCTGAACAAGGCGGCTCATCCTCCCCCCTCCGTGGCTGACGGCGGCTCC